GGCATCTAGGGCAGTTGTGCAATTCCTGGGACAGCACCATCTGCACAGTGACAATCACAGCAGCACAATCAGCTGCCGCAGGAAGCACAGCTAGTTTTGCAGCCCTCTACAAAGGTGGCACCAGAGCGGCTGCCCCATTTCCCCACCCCACCCTCAGTTCTGTTATATCTGCCAGCTACAACCTGAGCCTCACCCTTCAGAAGTATGTGGAGATAAGTTAATACTGCATGAAAGCAGTTGACCACAGGATATAATAAACATCAGAAAATACCAAGAGTTTTTGTCTGTCAGGTTGGCCCAGGTGATTTGGATGTAAAAGTGAAATGGGCTAAGTTCTGCTCTGATTTAAACCATATGCAAGCTTACAGAAATCAGTGTGTTTGCACAGCCTGAATAGAAGTATAGCCTGTTGTATATAGAACATGCATATGTGACATTGCATGGATATTTCATGAGCATTAATTAGCGTCTTGTCACACATTACACTTAGGATGTGTTAACTGCATTTAAAACATGAGTACTCACACTTTCAAGCATGTGTTATGCTATCGTGGAACTGCTTCATAGAGATAATACCAGCAGTCCTTGCTGGCTCCAGTACGGTGCTGGGGCTGGGAATGACAAACAGCTGTTGCTCCAACTCGCAGCCTGCTCCAGCCCTGTCCAGAGGACTAAGATCATGTAAAACAAGTAAAACAAGTGTTTTATAAGAGGTTTGTTGTACGTTACACTTAGGACGTGTTTTATTTAGACCATAGTAATCACGCTTTCTGAGCTGTTGCACAATGCTTACTATGTGCATTAATATTTTAAGCTACATAACACTAAAAAGTAAAGTAGCTGCTATCTTCATTGCATTGCAATTTGGAAGGAATGTTTTTATGCTAGAGCTGAAGAACATCAGCAGAAGAAGCCATTCTTAGATGTGGTAAAGTGCTTTAGTCTGATACCATATCCATCCAGGTTTAACTTAGAGTGAGATCTGCCGTTTTTAAAGTGGTCTTTGTGCCATGAACTTCTGTTTGATCACGGCTGTAGAGCGCTTTCTGTACACTTATTGTGCAATAAGTGTAACATCTGTGCCTAGCTTTAGACTGGTCATACTGCTTTTGGCAACCTTTAATGAGAACATAACAAAAGGTGTTTTGTGCTATTGCACCACAGAGTCACTTAGCTGTTAGACTGCTCTTGATGCTAAGGGACAGAGATCCTGCACTGGAATTTCTATAGCAGTGCAAGGGTTTCTAATGGAAGATATGTGACAGAATTCTCTATACTGCTTGGAAAACTTCAAGCGTGTTTTACAGCAAGTATTCATGTTAATGCATTAAATAAATAAGTGAATATGAAACATACTACAAGAGAATTTTATGGTTCAGAATCTTTCTTAGTTTTCTTTTTAAGTTGTATTGATTTAAACATTGCCTGGAAAGTGTGTGTTTAAATTTAATTATAAAGATGTCTAAGAAAATAAAAAATAAACTTACAGTGCAGCTGTTTAAATGAATATGTGAGGTAGAGAGGCATGCGGAATTATTTCCATCATTCCACATAAAGTACATGAGTGCCTTTAAAGTCCCCGGGCACAGTCTCAGCCAAAATTAACAAAGGTTCAGACCAAGAGCCTGATCCCAAATGTAGTGAAATAAGTAGACTCGCATTGACTTAGATGGACTTTGGTCAGCCTAAAACCAGCAGATGGGGAAAGAATAAATTTTATTTCATCCGCATATAGTTATGTTTCAGAAGAGATGCTCAAGTTTTGTAAAATAGTTCCAGGAGGTGAGGCCATGTCTTATATCCAGACAAGTGCTCCCTTGATCCCCTGATGTGGCATACATATGTAGATGTAGAACTTCTACCCCATGCCAACTTCTGATTTCTTCCAGGTGCAGTGTAGCGGGTGGAAGTAGATGTCATAGAGATCTAATGCTTTTTAGAATAAGATTGAATATTTCTTGGATTATTTTTTGCTGTCTGAGGATTCTTTCGTTCATTAGAAAAGTCTAAAATTTGTTCAGGATTAACCGTGTTTCCTTTATTATCTTCTTGGAACTAGTGTAATTATACATAGTTTTCAAACTGTTATTTTTAGCTTATTTTTAATGTAATTGTAAAAGTATGACAAATGTTACATTCTTTTTTGTTCAATAGCTTTGGAATGTAACAATGTCTTGTTTCAACAAAAGGAGTAGATGGTACCTGACCATTTAGTAACACCACATCGCAAACACAACTGACAATTTTGTCATTAGTCTTAGCAGAATAAGGATGAATGGACAAGAACTCAAAACTGTAACATAAAAAAGCTAGGAAGTCTTATGACTATGCACAAGAATTTTATATTTTTTCTGCAGTCATATTATTCATTGTTTGACTATTCAATCAATGACCAGTATTTGTTAAGAGTTTTTTAAAAACTTGAAAGATTTGACTATTTAAGGATAAATATTTATTTGTTTGCAAGCTGTAACTGAAGTTGTGGTGATCTCCAGTCATTTATTTAACTGCTGTACATTATTTCTCCTGTTTTAGAAAGTTCTGGTAAACTATTCATGGCTCAAAACCAGTAGTATGCAACTGAGCTGACCATGCTGTCAGTATGAATAGCAGCTAGTCAAAGCTAGAAGTACCAGAAAATGTTATGGTCTGAAATATGTTGGCATAGATGACAGTATTCATGTTAATCCATATCAGTTCGTGAACAGGAAAATAAGCTATAGTTGTACTGAATATTACTTGAATTATAATTCAGGTGGCTTTTCTATTAGCAATAAGACCTTTAACAAATGCTCATGCTACAAATAACACTTTTTTTCTAGAATCATCATCTGTTTCCATTTTACTGTTGCCTCTGGATGTTGGTTATCAGTCAGAATTTGTGGTCTGTTCAGCCTTGTTAGACTCTAAAAGAAACAGGAATAATGAATATACAGTGTAAAATTAATGCAGACCTTTTTTAATGTTGCAGTATGGTACATAAATAAATTTCAGGAGGTTTACAAAGCTAGAATCAGATACCATAAGCAAGTTCATTTTGGACAATTCAGGATATACACAGACAGCAGCCTTTTAATCATTTGTATAATCTCAGTCTTTTGATCAGGTATCTTTTAAGACTGACCTATTCATAGTTTTTCCATTAATTTGCCTAGTTATTTTATGGAGATTCCTACATTTATCATAAGGTTGAAAATTAAGGACATGTATAGCCAGTCCCTTATCCTAAAGCTAATTGGTATACCTCATTGTGAGTTATAGTAAGTAACTGCTATGCTAGGTTTAATTCTTCCTGTTAGGTGATGTAACGGAGATCTGCCTTTTTTCAACTCCCTGAAAATCCATATTGAATATGCCAGGGAAGGCCAACCAATGGCTTGTACACCATTCAGAAATGTAACAGGGCAGCTCATTGCCCTGAGCAGCCATGATTCCCAACTGCTAGCACAGCTGTACAGCCAGCCGATAGGAGCTATTATTTTTGTGTGGCCCTGCCCCCCACAAGTTGGTGCCTGGGACTGATGCCCTGGTTGCCCTGTCTTAGTTGCACTACTGGTGCCACAAGAGGCACAAGCAGCTACAGTGTGTAGCACACAAACCCAGGCACCCAGTATAGCAGGGGTGGGCAAAACAGTGGATCTGGCCAGGAGCCAAACTACATTTTCCAGCAGCCCCTGCCTGCATAGCTGGGGCCAGTTTTTATGGAGATATCAGCTGCTGTGCTATGATAGTGCAAGGGTGAGGTTGCCATGGAGACCAGTCCCAACCACTCTGGCAGGGCACACAGCAGGGCAGGGCAGGGTAGAGCAGAGCAGAGCAGTGGCACTGACATTTTGTGGCAAGGGCAGCTAGGGCCAGGGCAGAGCCACAATCTGCTGCCTGCATGCTCCAGGCAGGGGCGTGCAGGCAGTGGATCGCAGCTGTGCCCTAGATCCTTGTAACGGTGATAGCAGGGTTCTGAGCCAGGGCAGAGCCATGATCTACTGCCTGCATGTGCCTGCCTGGAGCATGCAGGCAACAGATCTTGCTTGCACAACACATCATTTTCGAGTGAATTAATCTTGTATGTCATTCCCTGCAGATTTCAGCAGGGGGAGTCAAATACAAATTAACCCCCTAGAATGTCTTCTGTAATGTATTACAGCAGGAGGCACATGTAAACCAACTGGCCTCCCCAGTCCCCGTCCCTGGACTGTCACTGAACAGTCTGGACTCTCCCTGGGAGTCTCCTCTGGGCACAGTCATCCCAAAATCCTTGTCGCTTGCACCTGCCTATGCTCAGTCAGTCTGCTGAAAAAATCTCATGAGGTTCAACAAGGACAAGTGCAAAGTCCTGCACTTAGGATGGAAAAATGCTATTCACCAATATAAGTCGGGGACTGAATGGCTAAGCAGTAACTCTGCAAAACAGGTCCTGGGGGTTACAGTGAGCAATAAGATGAATATCAGCCAACAGTGTGCCCTTGTTGCCATGAAAACTAACAGCATGCTGAGCTACATTAGTTGCAGCATTGGCAGCAGATCAAGGGATGTGATTCTTCCCCTCTATTTGGCACTGGTGGGGCCACATCTGGAGTACTCCATCCAGTTTTGGGCCCCCCACTACAGGAAGGATGGAGACAAATTAGAGTCCATCTTAAGGCAACAAAAATGGTTAGGGGGCTGGGAAACATTACTTATGAGGAGAGACTGAGGGAACTGAGATTATTTTGTTTGGAGAAGAGAAGACTTGTGGGGGAGCCTTCAGCTACCTGAAAGGTGTTTACAAAGTGGATGGATCTAGACTGTTCACTGAAACAGGCTACCCAGAGGTTGTGGAATCTCTATCCTTAGGTTGGAGGTTTTTAAGACCTGGGTAGACAAAGCCTTGGCTGGGATGATATAGTTGGGGATGGTCTAGCTTTGAGAAGAGGGTTGGACTATATAACCTCCTGATGTCCCTTCCAACCCTCATTTTTCCAAGTTTCTATGATCTCTCTGCCCTGATTCTTTCCCCGCACCTCTTCCTCCCACCTCCCAAGAAGGGCAGAATGAGATTTCTGTCATAGCTATTTCAATACTGCCCATAGGTAAACCAAGAGAATCCTAGAGTTCTTACTCAGTGGGATCCCTGGAAACAAAATTGCAGAATTGTTATGGAAAGAAATATGACTTGTCCATCGTCCCTCTTAAGGGTAAGCCAGCAAAATTAATGTTTTTTGC